CCTGCGAGCGCTGCCCCGCCGCTGCGGCTCGGCGTGCTCCCTGCGGGCGGGCTGGCGGCTGCGGAGCGCCCCTTGGCTGCGGCCGCCGCTCCGGAGAGGCAAGTTTCCATAAAAGTCGCGACGCGCGGCCGGCACCCGCATTCCAGGCGAGCCCCGCGCCGCGGCAGCTGTCCCGTCCCGTCCCGTCCCTTCCCGTCCCGTCCCGTCCTGCCCTGCCCCAGATCCCGGCCCCGCTCGTCCCCGGCCCGGCCCTGCGGCGGGGCGCGCCATGGCCGGCCCCTCGCCGCGGTGGGGGGCACCGCACAGCCCGGCCGCGCCACTCCGCACCCCCCGCCGCTGACAGCCGCCGAGCCAACAGGCTTATTTTGGGCTGGAAGCATCGCGGATCTATAAATAGCCGGGGCACGGAGGCCGCTCCCGGCTAGCGCGCCCCTGGCCGCGCGGTCCGTGCCGCAGGGCAGCGGCGGAGCCAGGACCCGCAGCCCCGCAGCCCGCTATTACAATAGAGCTGACCCGCCGCGGCTGCTATAGGGCCGCGTCCCCAGGGATCACCACCTCGGCAGCCGGTTGTCAACACGTACCTGCAGCCACCGCAGGCTCGGCCGCCGCCGCTTTCCGCGCCCGGCACCGAACCGGAGCTGGCGAGAAGCGCGATCCGCGCCGAGAGCGCTCCCCCGCCGCGGTGTCCTGCCCCGCCAGCCGGGAGACTTTATACCCCCGGTGGCCGGGTCCTGGGTCGTCTATGGCACATGGAGAGCAATCAACTAATAATAGTAATGTGACAGTTAGCTGATGGAGCAGAGAGGAATCTAGCTAGTGCCAGACGGGCGAGAGGGAGAGCGTGTCTGCTTTGAAACAGAGCCTGTCTCTGGAAACTTTACAGAGGCAGAAACATGACTTTATTACATCAGAATATATTCCTTTTCCTGCTTAAAGATGACTTGTTTCCTACACGTACGAAGTCTCCAGTGCAGAACTTTCCTCTTCCTGTCCCACTTGTACTGTGTCTATCATGCTGGAGCCTAACTTCCAGCTGGATTATTAGGATGACAACCACATGGCCTTAAGCTTTACAAACTCTGAGCAACAGCCATCAAAATTAAAACACAAAAAGTGTTTGTCTTTTGAAGGACAGTGCAGGAACTGTCCCCCAGTGCCACCCTCAAAAGAGCTGTACCCGTATTTCTGAGGCAAAGGTGCAAGGTTTCAGTTGAGGGCTGGGCTTCCCCCTCTCAGTAAAGTAAGTTTTCAGCAGATGAACACAGCTTACACATAAAGTTGGGCAGTTCAAAGCAGATATACATCGCCCTTCTGAGGGCACCACATCATTGTGATGTCCTCAACACAAAAAGGACATGGAACTGCTGGATCAAGCCCAGAAGAGGCCACAAGGATGAGCAGGGGACTGGAACACCTCCTGTATGAAGATCGGCTGAGAAAGTTGGGGCTATTCAGCCTGGAGAAGAGAAGGCTGCGTGGAGACCTCATAGCAGCCTTCCAGTATCTGAAAGGAGGCTACAGGGATGCTGGGGAGGGACTCTTCATTAGGGACTGTAGTGGTAGGACAAGGGGTAATGGGTTAAAACTTAAACAGGGGAAGTTCAGGTTAGATGTAAGGAAATAAGGAAGAAGTTTTCTCACTGTGAGGGTGGTCAGGCACTGGAATGGGTTGCCCAAAGAAGTGGTAAATGCTCCATCCTCAGTAGCGTTCAAGGTCAGGTAGGAAAGAGCCTTGGACAACACCGTATAGAGTGAGGCGTCCCTGCCCATGGCAGGGGGGTTGGAACTTGATGATCTTAAGGTCCTTTCCAACCCTAACCATTCTATGGTTCTGCAATTCTACAGCAGTAAGCATTAGACACTGTGTTCTCCATTTATATTACCCCACAATGGAAATCTTACTCCATGACTGGAGCTCACTGTAGCCCTTGGGTTTGAAAATAATCCTGAAAAAGGTCATCCCCCAAACCCAAGGGAAGAAACAACCTGTTGGCACAGAAAGACAGATGCAATGAAACCGACCTGGTTAGTACCACAGGCAGGGATCGTGCCAACTGACAACCACTGTCGGCCTATAACAGCCAGCCTGAGTCTGGGGTTTGTTCACCCAGGAGATTAAGGGCTTTGGCTTTCTCTCTGACTTGCAAAACTAGAAACACCAAAACTTGGCTTTCTGGTGGATCACTGGCCTATGTGTTGAAAACTTCTCAATGCTGTGGACCATTTCACAGAAGAAAAACCACACAGGTTGTTTTCTGATCCAGTTATACTGTTCAAGTTGCAGATGCAGTTGTATAACCAACAGTTGTTTCACTGAAACCTTTTATTCAATACACACAGCAGCAGTTCATTTTGGCAATAGGAAGTTCACAAACACACTTAACTGACACTTGAATTGATGTTTTGTCTGATGAAACCAAAGACTACAAAAATGAAGTATAATAATCATTAAGAACACATTTAAAGTGGGATTATTTTTACAACTAAATTACAGATTATATAAATACTGGATTCTTGTATAATCAACACATTCAACATTCATTTCTGATCGTAGGAGCACAGCTATAGCAGAAGAGGATGACTCTTACTAGCAGGGAAAAGGGAACTTGATGATCTTTCAAAACTATTTCAAAACTATTTAAAATTTTGAGACTATAAACTGTTTTCTGATTCTGATTACGAATTCTCTGCAGTACAATTGCATCCTGGTGCCACTGCATTGGCGCAGCTCTGGCACTTACATTTTCAAAGGTGGAGGACTTTGCTTAAGCCATATGGCTGGTTATCAACAGACATTCTTCACACCCTTTCCTCAGCGGTGCACAAACCTGGGTTTGTAGGAGAACTGATTCCAGTTCTGTCTTACAAAGAGGCAGCCTTCCCCCATTTGAATTGACAGCTGTCTCTGGCATTAGGAAGGGTAGAACATATAAACGCTTCTTGAGAAAAGGTCCAAAAAGACTCAGAGGAGACAAAAGCCTGCCCATGTGTACCTGTGCATTTCCCTCTCCTTTTTTTCCTCCCTTCCCCTATTTCTTTTTTCTTTCATTAACTGTTTCCAACCAAGTATTTGTTGGTGGCACCTTGCAGCAACCAGATACCTTAATTCTTATTTTGGATGGGAAATATATCACTTCCATTTCCAGCCTGATTCTATGGACTTTGGAGCTCTATGAGTGCATGGAAGTGCTCCTTTTTTAAAAGGATACATCTATTTAAGCCGTATATTGTCAGGTCCTTACCCACTTTCCAGACATTCTGGTGTTCCATTGGACCTTTTTCATTCTTCTGTTTAAGAAAATCCTTTCAGTTTCAACAGAAGGTGGACTTTTAAATCACCTGGAAACATTTATAATCTCATGTGCAATACTTGCATTTTCTTCATGAGCTTTATATAAATAATATGAAACTTTCTCGCTTAACTATGTATTTAGTTCTGTGGAAAAGTGCATTTCTGGTTTTCTGTGATGAATGTTAAGGTGTACTTTCCTTCATATAATTTTATTAGAACAGACAAAACACAGCACACAGTTTCCTCTGGCATCTTGCAACCTCCAGGTAATACATTTGCTGTGGAACATGCCATTTACTCCATCAATACTATTTCCAGCTATTCCCATTGATTCTGAGCCCAACAAGAGACTTTACTGTTCCATATAAATTCATTCATAGACTTGCAAAATGCTGCTAAAATATAGATACTTTTGAGCAAGTAAATGTGCTTAAGCTAAGTGAGATGGGTGCAGAAAACTTCACATTCTGTATTGAAAACGCACTTTGTGGAGAAAGAAACCGCAGCCGACATTTTGCTCTTTTGTTGTATTCATTTGACACATACAAGAATGATGAAAATGTGTCGGCTGCAGTGAAATCTATGGAATTACACAGACCCTCCAAATATCATCTTTTTGGATTGTGTTCAAACAAAAGTCTAAATGTTTCCAATGAAAGTGTGTTCCAATATGCTCCATTTTAACAACATGCTTCTTAAGCATCTGAATATTTTACTATTACTTACTCTTGATTACTTGACACAGGATAGAGTCTTGTGGGCTGGCTTTCTGTGGCAAAGCATATGTAAATGTAGTTAAAGAGCCTAAGCTAACTATGATACATTGTTTCAGTTTACAGACATTCAAAGACTATAGATCATCATTATTTATTACCTCTAGCACAGGAAAAAGTGTTACTGCAAATTCCCACATGCCTTCTTACTGTGCTGTGCTCCTACCTAAAGCTCAGGGTTCCATATTCCGAGCCACAGTTTTACACTGCACATACATAGCCACAGTTGCTTACACTTCCTCTTAAATAAGACACCTGACTTCCTACAAGGAAGGGAGGAAGATGGAAATGCTTTTAATTATAAAACACTGCCTTCAATTCTGATCCGTGATTAACAAATCTCATCAGACATCCTTATTTAAAAATATATTTTGAAATGCTACATATGAACTGAGAATGGTGTTAATTTAACACCAAAATATAAAGTAGTAACAGTTGTAGAAAAAGGAAAAGTTTTAAATTAACTGGTGAAGCTACCGCAGCTTTTTGAATATAAATAAGTGCTTTCAAACACCTTCATGATGTTTGACTGTTTTAAAACAAAATAAAGTGAAAAACGCATACTGGAAGTCATTCCTGCCCTAACAGTACCTGCATCGCTCCATTACACTGTAGTACAAAATGACTGCTTAACACCCACAACAAATGTAATTTCAGGCCAGTGGCAACACATTCGGTTTTGTGAGTGTGATTAGTTTATTGCATGTGTCACATGAATTAGAGACTGCATATACCCCAGTCAAAACATCTTCTAGATCTAGACAGACAATGATTTGGGGACTCTGTAATGAGCATTCTGCACTATAAGCCCTTAAAGAAACAAATCCATCAGCTTCACTTACAAATTATCTGTGCAAAAGTACAGTATTTCATAAATAAACTTTACCCAAATATTACAGGAAAAAAGCTTTGGGATACATTAAGTATAAATACAGTGACAGCGGAGCTGCAAATTTAATTTAGGTATATACAACAATATGCTCACCAGTTCTTTTCACAGATGTACATTTAACCTCCCTGAGTCCTTTTCCATACTTAGCAACATGATACATTTTCAGACGCTTGCTCAGTAACAGCAATGATAACTTCAGTGTTAGAGAGAAAGGTGGGAAGGAGTATATCAGGCACACTCCATTTCATTTGTCAATGATTTTAAGCTTACTGTACTTTTGCTTCTAAGAGCCCACTGGTCACGACATGCCCAGGACCACTTACACAAGTATTGACATGTCTCAGTGAATCTGTTCCAAGATAGGCCATTAAAAGTTCAGTGTGTCGGATTAATAATTGCAAAAGATCTTCAGCCAAACTCTCCATAGTTGAGTATCTCACCTTTTCAAAATCAAAAATGTCTTTGAGGAAGAAAAGCACTTGATCCTAGTGAGGGGGGGGGAAAACAAAAAGGGAGAAACTTGTATTCACTTACAAGAAGGAAAAAAGTATGCAATGCTATTTCCTTTACACATTTCCTAAAACCATCCATTTATGTATTCTTCTGGTGCTAAAATAGAAGTGCATTAAAATAGACTTTGCAAAGCAGTTCTAGGCTTAAAAAAGTTTAATATTATAATGTTTATTTTCATGGTTTCTTACAGTTAGTCTTAATCTTGGGAAAACACAAAGTGTTTTGGAAAACACAAAATGCCTACAAATAACATCCTCATTTCTTTTAATCTGGAAGACTTATTTATTTATTTTTTAATTAAGAGAAATGGCAATAAAAAAAAAAGTTGCAAACCTTGAAGAAGCAGCATAGGTCATAAAGGGAGTTTCTAGGACCCAAAAAGCCCCATGCCAAAACAGGGCTGATATGTTCACATATAGCATAGAAATGTGCAAAAAATCCATCAGGCACCTGGTGATGTAAAAATTATAGATAAAAGTTACACAGTAAATATAGCGTAAGTCTCTATGAATTAAGTCTTCAGAAAAGCCTAAAATGCCTACTGCTTCAGGGCTGTGGTAATCTTTAGGTTACAGGGCAATTGTACCAAACAAGAGGCATGATTTTTGGTAGAAAAAATATTTATTTCAGTGGTACATTGTACTTTAAATATTTGAAGATTAATAGGCAATAAGCCCAAAACCAGCATAAACAATCTACTCTGGATCCCAGATGACAGATAATTATATTCACTTATTCCTGTTTGAGCCCCTATACACTATGCATAGCTCAGACTTGCAAAAAAGTAAGCAAACTGCACAGTTTTGAATGAAAAAATTATCCCTTATAAGAATCCATTTTAAAGTCTACAGAAGACCACAAAATATCTGTGAATGTCCATCCTGCTTGCAACCTACAGGTACTCGTAAAATGTATTATAAATTCATGTCTCATGTATGGATGTACAGTTTATTTTACGTATTTATAAAGATAATTTTACAACATCAGTTAATTTATAAAACCATAAAAATAAAATTATCATAAATTAAAGCATAAAATACCACAAGAAGAACTGTCTGTAAGTCACTCTAAGTTCATCAAACTCATTGTGACAATTAATCTCTCCCTTACAAAGACTTCCATGGTGCTTTATTTACTTTATCAACTTCTGAATATCTACAGCAGCACTGATGAAACTTGTCCCAAGGAGTAAAGTTACTCACACATTTACAAACTTATAAATATTGAGACTTCAATACACAAAGGAACTACAGACCAAGGTAGCTGTGCATTGAAATAGAGATGAAAGTAATAGGTTACTATAACATCTATTTTGGAGATATAATCCCTTTATATAAAACTAATGTAGGAAAGATCTATGTATAAAATTCCCAAGATATAGCAGTAGCTGAGGACCTTTTACAAAATACCAACTGCTCTTGGAAGTACCTTTTTTTTTGTGATGAAATATGTCTTTAAAAGTTAGGAGTCATGCAAATAGCTATTCTTAGAACCAGAGAAAGGTGTCAGTGCCCATCGCTTGAGCAGAGGCTCCTCACCTGCTGTATGCAAAACCACTTCTAGTGGTTATGGATGTCCTGCAGCAAGCATCAATTCTGTTTTTTGGACTGGCTAATACAGAGATAGGCCTCCTAGGTCTAATAAAATCATCCAAAGATGGAAGTGAGGAGCTGCTGGCAAAGAGGAGCTCTACTTCGAAACATTCAGAGTTCCTTCACTGAGAGGTCAGGATGCAGAAAGGGGCTGAGGGAGGCTGCAATAGTGTTCTTGCTACTGGCTAGGTAAATGGTACTTCAGGTAGGTAAAGGGACTGGACTGAATTTTATTTAGAGATGATGCAGGGAGATGGGGTATCCCAGTGTAAGCAGGGAAGATACTAGATGAATGACCCTGGTCTGCAAAAATCTGAGGTGCATGTATGGGGCTGTATGTCAGAGAAGGGACTGTCACCATTGCTCACTGGACCTAAACTAGCCTGAAAATCTTTCAGCTAAGACTTTTTGCTAAAATGCTGGTATTAGGGCTCCACAAACTAAACTAGAACTCACAGCCTCTCGTTTAAATGAACATGACTACAGGGTTAAGGATACATATAAATACGTAATTTATTTTGCCAAAGCTACAGAACTTCAGATACTTAGGAGCTGATCAGTAACTTTGATTGGCGCAATTTGCAAGGCAACTTACCTTCACTTGCTGTCTCTTCTGCTTCAGGACTGACCAACAGCTTGAAGCCACAGCCTAAATGTAAATAAATAAATAAATAAAAAGAACCCAAACAAACACGCTCCAAACTGTGTGTAACTTCACTATAAGAGAAATTATTTTTCATCTCAAAAGGAAGTGAGCTGCAGAATACCACATTTCTATACTTTGGGGATATTTAATGTCCTCAGTTTCAATCTTGTGATAACAAAGTTTAAAACTGTAAAATATCAGCTGAAACAAATAACATTACATGTAGTTCATATTTGTTACTTTCAGATCTCATTTTGCAACATTTTATTTCATTTAATTCAAATAGTATTTGGCATCCTTGACTGATTTTAGTTGTAACAATTAGGAACATTCATGGGGTTCAACTGAGGACCAGTCTCTCATATACCAAAATGTGCACTCAGACATAAGTAACTATTTTAGATATTAAGTAGCATGCAAACACATTGCAATGTTCTTTTTCATTTTAGCAAAAACATTCTTGCAATAGCTTCAGATTCAGCTAAGGAGTTTTGTCCAAATATGGACCTGTGAAAGACAGTATACTGGTATCAGTACTAGGCTTTTTCCTCTCCTCTGATCCTCCTTCAGTACTGCAAGATACTTTACTACTCACAAAACAGTGTTATCATATAATTACAAAAATGAACACATGCATGTTTCCTCTTTTTTCCTTTAGAGGGAATATTTCAATTGAAAGATAAATACAGGAAAAAATGGCAGTTTACAGATATAAGTGGGTGAAATGGGAGTGGTTACGCTACCAGCTGACCATGGCAGTAGCCTGTATGCCTGTAATACAAGAGTGAGATCTTTTTGGCAAATAGGCACATCTGAAAGTGTGAAATGTTATCAACATTTGAATGCCTGTATTTCATTAATTTACTTTTGTGTGCTTGCAACTTTGTGCCTTATTGTTAAATCTCTGGTATATGAATCAAAACTTCTAATACCTCAAATATGGCTAACAGAAACTTCCCTTCTAAAATTCCACTTCCTCAGGGATAGCTTGTCCTGCAAAAATGCGTTTAAGTGTTTTTCCAATACATTCAATTATTTTATATATTTTGGGCTCAGACTTGTAGCTTTTAAACTGCTGTTATGAATAACCTGATCATACAACCTGCTTATTTTTTCTGAGGAATATTTCAGGCACCTATTCAGTTGTACTAGAAGCTGCATTAGACTTCACAGTGAAGGTTGATGTAGTTTCTTTGCTTCATAATTAATGCTTTTATTACTAATTTAATTATCAAGACAACATATTCAGTCTGATTCCTGCAGTTGCTGGATTTATTCTCATTTTTACATTGTGCTTTACAAATATAAAGCAGAGATTGCCATAAGAACAGTTTTAGTACATATAGAAATTTAATACCAGAATGCTCACACTAATGTTACATTTATCATACCATCTAATTGTTGTAATGGCGATAGAATAATGACTATGAAAATGACACATAAATACTTACTGTTTCTTTGAAAGAGGAATTTAGCCAGCGGTTATTTACTACATTCTGTATAGATATTGGTGGATTTTCTAAATCTTCAAATGAATCCATTAATATGAAGTCCAGAACGACATCATAAAAATTCAGGTTTTTCACCTATATTAAATCAGAACATGACCTGAGTAACCTAGTTTCTCTTTCAGCAGTGGAATTCAGTATGCACCATATTCTAACTCTGTATTAACATGCAGATTTATAATTGCTATTAAAATCAATATTAAATTAAATATTAAAGATACTTTGTCAGTAAAGGAGAAGATAAAATATTACATGTTATCTGGTACTAAACTACAGTGGTGGATGCCATTTCTCTAAATCAGCAATGTAAACATAAAGAAGTTGCCTTTCCCACCATTCTGAACTGTAAAAATTCATTTTTAGATGTTTTTCATTTTTCTAGATGTTATTCATTTTTTTAATGTTGTTCATTTTTAGATGCACTTTTCAGAAATTCAGACTCACTCCTGTAGCAGCAAGTTCCATTTCAGTATTATCCCAGTGATCTGTTTGTTCCAGAAAATATATCATTTCATCAAACACATCTTCAAATTTCTTTGGATTCTGTAAAGTAAAAGCAATGAGTATCAAGTAAACTTAACAAAAGGCATGGTTTATATTCACTGGAAAGGCAGCTCTAGTAGAAGTTGCATTAACAGTAAAATGTTACTTAAAAAAGGCTTTTACCTTTCGTGCTTTCACAATTAAAGCAGACAAAATTTTTCTTCCACTTTCAGCAAGAAATATTCTGTTTGCTGTCTCTGAAAGAATTACCTAGAAAAGGTTCCGAAAAAACAGACATATTAATTCACAGGTTATACTAAGTGACCTTACACACTTCAATCAAATTTAATATAATTATAACCTCTAGCATAGTAGGCCAATTCCTAATCAGCTTTTGGTGCAAAGGCTACAAAGCTAATCATAAAACTGGGACTCCTCTGCAAATTTTAGAATGACAGAAAGGTAATAGCAACAATAAAATAATTAATTACAGCATACGTTATAAAAACTGCATTGATAACCTCCACATACTTCAGGCTTAAGAAGACAGACAGATAAATCACTCTCCTTTACCTGAAAAGCTTGTCGAATACAGTGGAGCTTAGCAAGGAAGTCACTGTCTCCTAGACATTCAAACATTTCAGTCCTATATAAAACAGAAAAGTTTTCGAATACCATGAAAAAAGAGAAGCACAAGAAAACTAAGTCTAATTCTAGAAAAAATACCTCGTACAAGTAACTTCTAAAAAATTACTTCTGTATGGTATAAATTTAATTCTTGCTTTTCTTAGAAATAATTAAGTAGATGTAAATCAGTACCTTAACACTCGTGAATAAATTTTGCCTTCCTCTGCTAAGTGCATAGCTTCTTCATACAATGGGCAATGGCAAAGGGAATCAAGACCATACGTATTCCGAATCTCTCTGTGCTCTGTAAGCTGAAACAAAATAGTTTTGAAGTTCATTAAAGAGCTTGCTTGCACAGTTTTTGTAAAGGTAAATCAAAGAAGCTTTCCTGATATTCTACTGAAAGATATATCCTTTTCTGCATCTGCTTAAAACAAAAGGGGAACACTCAACCAGTAAAGAGAAGAGAAACACCACAAGTATTACATAACTTAAAATCTGAAAGCTGCAGTTTCAGGTTTTAAGTTTCAAAAGTTTAATTAATTAAATGGAGGCAGCTTAGTTCTGATTTTAATTTGCCTAGCTGCATTTCTAATTTGCCTAGTTAAATCTAATGGGTCTCAAAGCTCTTAAAAAGCCCCAAAAGTCAGGACACAAAGTACAGAACAACCATGCAAACCTCTAGGAAGCTGGAAATAGTAACATCCTTCCACTCCTGTTTTTGTCTCGCTAGTAGATATGTCTGCTAGTTACCAAAGCATATTGTATGAAGCATGAGCATTCAGCATCCTGCTATAGGCTCTCAAAAATGTGTTCATTTTCAGCAGTTTTAATTCTGCTGTTATGAGATAGAATAATGTGAACTCATAGACATTTTTAGATGGAGAAAAAACCAAAATCAGGTTATGAAAACAAAGCATGTAAATAATATAGAGAACTCCTGTTTACAGGATATCATATTTAATCCACTAAACAATGGCTAGCTACAATTTCCACTATGAACATGACATCATATTATTAAGGATCCAAGAAAAAAAGTCTCTCATCTTTCAGTTTAGTTAATGATCAGAAAATGAATTCTAACTTTTTTTAACACCCCCGTCTTTTTTAGTTTTATATATCCTGCATGGGTGAAACAAACCTGTGCTTATAGGCTATCATAACAGAGCCTATAAAGATCTTATAAGATAAAATTCTCGCAGTAATTGACCTGTATAAAACTAGGTACCCTATATCTTAGAAAGATTTAAAAAAATAGATTAAAAATATAAGCTGATGCTAAATTTCCATTGAAATTTTGAAATAAATATATGCTGAAAAGTTTTTTCTGTCACTGAGGACATACAGGCAAGTGCTGGCATGAGACTTCACAAAGATATTAATGAGTGTGCTTCCAGTGTGTCTTCTCTACAGATTTTAATTGAGGCTACTACAGCAACAGCAGTTTGGCCAAGCAGGCTTGCCAGCTAAAGGGAAGAATATAAACAAGTGCCAGTACCTGCTTATATCCATGTAAACATTTAAGCACATGAATGTGTTAAAGAGATTTCAGCACAGATGTTTTGAATCACTTGTACCAGTATCTTTTTACATAAGCAAATACATACAATTCTTTTCATAAAATAGTCAGGATCCATTTTAAATTGATTTGCTTGGGTAGAGAAAAATAACATCTGTATTCCTATATAGATTTCTCCAGAGTTCTCAGATTGAGACTCTAGTGATGAGACAACAGCTAGAGAAGGAGTGTAGGAATAAAAGCTTTAAGGTCAGCAAAATATCATACTTAAATGAGTAAGATACACTTTTAGAGTTCATCTAGCTTGAAAGTATTTCCATTTTGAAAGTATGTATTTGTTTATCAGTTGTTTTGCTTGGAAGAACAGAGTAGAATAAGCTGAATTCCTAAAAAAGATTACCAACTATGAAGACCAAAGTTTTTATCCCAATTTAACAATATTAATCATAGCACCAAACCGTGTTTTGGATTTACTAATTCAAAAAAGCCAACCTGAAAATTGATGTTCTTTATTTATTTAAACAAATTTAAACAAAAGAAGCCACCCAGCTTTTAACTGAAATGTACGTGAATTAATAATTCAATCAAGTAGAAGAAACAGAAAGGTATTGATTTCTTTCAGATATAAGAAATCATTATACAAACAGACACATACATATAACACACACACACATATATATACAGACACGTGTATATATAGTGTAATAGTTAAAACAGGTATAAACAAAAAAAAGTGGAAAATCTTTACTCCCAAATTTGGTTTTCCACATTATGGTTAAAAAAGTGGAAACTGTGGAATAATACATATACATTTTCCAAAATAAAGACCAAACCAGAATACAAATAAGTATATTTATTTCTTACCTGATCCAGCTATTAAAGAAGCCATAAAACATTCTATTTACTTTATTTCACTTGCAAAGCATGAGAAGAAATAAGTTGTGCGTACATAGGCACTTTGTAAACAGCTGTCCCTCTCTTGGAGGTTATAATTTCCGTGGTAAAAGGGATTATATTTGTTTTCTGTGGAGAACTTTTGGCAAATCACCTTCAGACATTGAGGCAAACTGACTGTGACTAAATCAGGACTCGTGATTTCCACAGTCAGATGCAGGTAATGTTCATCTGCTGCCAGCAAGCTGAAGATGGTAACCTTTTTAGCACATGAAGATGCCTGATTGTAGCCTTTGTGGTTACAGATTAGCATCGAATCTGATACCCAAGAGTTGAGTGAGGACCTTGATTATATCTAGCCTTTTTTTTTTTAAGCTTCCTCTCATGCTGGCAGGCAAATGAAATAAGTAGCTGTGTAACTGCTGAAATGCATATTACTGTGCTCAAATGAAGAAAGCGGTTAAATCAACAGGCTACTAAACAGAGAAGGGTATAACTATTGTTCCACTGAGGAGATTGTTTTGATTACAGAGTGAAGTTAGTTCCAACAAACATCATTTGGAAAGGGGGTGCAAATTCTTCTATCACTGACTTTGGCATGCAAAAAGAGGAAAGGAAAAAAACCCCAACAAAACAAACCAAAAACCAGAAACTAAAATGACCTCTAAGTTTAGCTACAAAAGGTGATTTCCAGACAAGCTCTGAAGCTGCATCGTAATGCTCCTGGAGTCATCATGGATTTTCTTTTGATGCTTTCTGGTATTTAAAAAATATATGTCAATATTTTATCTGTAGATACAAACTATATATATATGTAACATACAGTGTTATATTTTAAATGATTTTGTAAACATTCAGTAATGGCTATTCTCTTTGAGATGAAATACGGCAAAAGCTTGCTACAAAAGCATCCTGGTTCAAAATAAAATTAGTTGAAAATGCTCAGAACACACATTCACATTACTAACATAGCAGAGTTTAGCTATCTGAAGAATGGACAAATTATATACAGTGTTTAACAACATGCAGAGCATACAACATTTTCTAGATAAGAGCTTCTCAAGCTGACATCAAAAGGAAAATTAACTGTTTGTTGTAAAAGTCTCCAAAGACTTGTTACCTTTGAGAAAAAAATGTGGAGAGAAAGGTACATTTTGAAAGAGCTGGTTCCCTGTAATGACCTTATATCAATTGGCATGCCTTCTTAATAAATATTCAAGGACATGCTTTTTGCTGCACTGTGTTCCCCTATGCACCACATAACTTTCTTCAACAATGGTTCAGAATCCGTATCAGAAGTTAGCAGAAAGCCCCAGCATCCCACGTCTTGTCACCACAGGTAAGTTGGACTCTTGAGAGCTCCTTGAGTCCTTTCCTGCCACTCTGTAGCGAACATTTTACACAGCCACTACCATTTTGAAATTCTTAACATGTTAGTAAGGATGAAAAAGGGCTCCATACACAGCTACCAAAAGTGCTGGTAGCTGCAGGTAACAAAGGCTTTTGGTAATGGACCTGATGTGCCAGCCTCTAAATGTCTGCTATTTCCTCAGTGTCACACATGAAGAAGAATAAGAAAATGCATTCAAAGAAGAGCTGCAAAAATTAATTATCCATATTGGCAATCTAGTCTTGTAATGGTTTACTTCCATCCATTCTAGGCTCAAGAAAGATAGTAGTTGGTGACCACTGCATGAGACATTTATGATGACCCCCAGTGGACACCTAACTTCATTATGTTGAAATACTATGTACATCTTCAAAACTCCAAAGCTCGCAGTGATAACTTGTGCCTCTACACACAGTGACAGAAAACAGTCTTCAAGGACTACAACATGGGCTGGTTTTGTTCAGATGCTAACCAGTTTTCTCTGGGCAGCTCAGCTTTTAACTAGCTGCATCTGCTAGTTAAGGGATGCTGCAACCACTGCTGTAAAGCATTAAACCTCTAGAACTTGCTATAGTTTTTAAGCTTGGGATTCCCTGGCTGCTTTGGTCTAATGAACAGACTCAGCACTCTTACTTGTCACCACAAGTTGCTTCTTAATAAATAGAAAAAATTCTCAGCTGTGCATCAAGATCTTGTTGGCTACCAAAATAACCACCCACTTGAATGTAACAAAAATAAACATTGCTAGACCTTTTGGAATTCTTGCTTGCTCCCACTAATAAAAAGGTCAATTTACTGGCACAGTCAGCATTCCTTGCATTCTGAAAAACTATGCTTATCCTATATTAAAAAGCCTGATGATAACTTTTCTCTGGGCATTTATATCCTTTAAAATATATTTTTAAAACATGATTAGCTGCAGAATGAGTGTGAAACGTGTTCTAGGAGTTAAAACATGTGATGGTGATTGCCAACTAAAACATTTGAGACAGTACTTCAATAAACTGCAACGATAAAGTGGTGCATTCTTATTATCTGGAATAAAACAGGAAGGAAGTTAATGTATTTTCATGAACTCCTATAATTATTTGTATATATTACAAGACACCTGATATCTTTTTTTTTTTTTTTGAGGAAAACACACATCCAGAACATTATTTTATCTGAATTATTACTGCAACTTTATTAATTTTAAGCATAATGAAGAAAGTAAATTCACTATGTTGTGTGCATCAGTGGTGGTACTACTCTTTGCCACTTGGAATAACCCTGGGCTATGTGCTGTGTCTGGCACTTGCCTACATATTGCCTACAAGGATGTATTATGGTACAACAATTAGTTCAGTGCTAATACATGGGATTTGTTACAAATGTTGCATATATTTTCTAAGAAATAAAACCTATATAGTATGAGCAGTCAGCATATAGGAACACAGTGGTTATTAGAGGAAATTCCTACATGTCCTAGAAATGAAAACATTTAATATACAATGTAAATACCATACATAGCTCAGATTTCAGGACCAACCCCAGATTTTTAAATTTTATTATTAATTTTAAAGCTTTTAGAGCATCACTTAATGACTTGTTGATCTAAGTTGTTCTATTCATAGCCATACAGAAAGCAATCACAGCTGTCCTTGGTGGAAACAAAGGAACCTGGTTCCCACTGACACTCTTCATGGCCACCTGGAAAACTTTTCTTCATAATGGAATCTTTTCAACAGCAGCAACATCTATAAGCATGCACAAGACAAATAATAGAAAAAACACGCCAAAATCCAACAAAATGAAGCATGAAGTTTGAGGAGTTCGTTAGACAGGACATAGGGATGGGAGACATTTCTCAAAGTGGAACGGAACTTTTCTGTTGCCTATAACACCACTGACATTATTGGGAGGTGGAAAGTCTCTGATGATGATATGGACCAGCTTTACTACTGGATATCAAGATTCAGCAGACACCCTAAAATCTTTTGAGTTTGGGCAAAGTAGTAGGCAGTGGTTAGGAGCACTTCAGGTACAGCTTTTTCAAATAGTATTACTGTTAGCAGAATGAAAGAATTTGGGATTAATTCTTTCCTCTCTTCACAGGTTTTAAGACCATAAATATGAGGCATCTCAATACCTCATTAAAGTTGTTAGAATAAGGAGCTGCTTACAATCCCAGGGCATGCTAAGACTACAGAACTGCTGTACTTCATTTGTTTCTGAGGTAAGACAATAATTCATGTCAAATTGGGCAAGTGACGTGAACATGGAGGAAGTGACCAGGATGAGAACAGCGAGTCTTGAGAAGATCCGATCAGTGATTATGGTCACAATTCTGAGGGCAGTCAGAACAGAGCAAGGCTTATCTCTGATTTTTGTGGTGAAATACAAAAAAAAAAAACCAAACCCAAACCACCAAAAATCTCCTTTAAAAATGTTGTAGGAACACATCCTACTATTACTTGCCTGCGTTACTCCCTCTCGCATTCCCTATTTCAGGAAAGGAATAAAACATCTACCTGCAAACCAGGAAAAAGGTAACCCTACTTTTCATTAACAGAGTTATTTTTGAGTACTTTCTGAATCTAAAATTCAGTATAACACACTTTGAAGGTTTTGGTGCCATATCCAAATACTTACAGGCATATGGAAACTGGTGTTCTTTTCCTGTTATCAAAGCCTGCTTGTTCCTGCACTGTTTTGTTTTAATAGATTTGAACTGAGAAAAAGACAACTTTAGTAAAAGAATTACTTGTAAAGAATGGAGAAGCTAAGGCTTTATTCACAAATCAACAAATCTCCTTTGCTTTGGACCGAGTTAACATTTTGATAAAGAAAACAAAGTTTATTTGATAACAGAACTACTGATTCAGTTCAAGATATGAAAATAAGACGTGATAAATGCATGGGCACTGACAACAGAGAGGCAGCAATGAAGCTCACTGTCAGGGAGAGCAGGAAAGAGTTTCTATTGGAAAGATGGAAAAGAAGCCAGGAATGAGAGGGTGGAGACCTTTATCTGGCTCACTCACTGCTGTATTCTTGCCAAAGGTGGTGGCTATTTTGATCACACAATGGATGAGATAGCAAGAATATGAAAAGAATACTAACCCTCAAACGCAAGTTGATGGCAGATGGCCTAAAATGGGGAAGAAAATACCATTATTTATCATAGTATATTGTATCAGTAACTTAATTAGGGCAAATGGTTGTGCTTACCATCCCTTTTGTGGTGCTTCCAAGAGCATCCATGTATTTAAGGAACAGAAATCTGTCTGGGCTTGGGGATGGTAACTGTATGCCTGACTCATCTTTATAAGGATTCAGCAGACACCTGGGTATTGTAGGTGTCCAGACTGGCACAATTCTGTTTAAGAAGTCAAGTGAAAGATCCTCAGAATCCTCTTGATTATCATCCATAGCCAAGATGAAGTTTTGGAATACCCTGCTGCTATCCTGTAGAGCTCATCAAAAGGGCATGTGAGTTAAACTCTGCCAACTGTCCCAGTTTTGCACAGTTCTCTTCTTGAAAGCCATCTTCCTACGTTTTGTCCCAACATAACACAGGACAACATTCCTGTTGCCTCCTAAGCAGTATTCCTATTAATTTCCATCAAAACATCCTTGTCTTGTTTTAGGTTTCCCTGTACCTTTGCTGTTATCTTTCCTGAGGGCAGTGAACTAAATTTGACTTGACTGTGTGTCAGCACTGAAACATGAATATGGCTTCCAGTCTCAAAAACTGGCGTCTTAGACCTGCTGCTGGGGACAGGATGCAATGTAGAAGGAAAACAATGTGACCACAGAAAATGCTGCTACTTTGTAATTTCCCAGAAGGTGAAATCACTAATGATTCCAGTAGGGCAAAATCACAAGGCATCATACACACACGTATGAATTTCAGATTTAAAAACTTCGCTAAACATTTATATCAGCACACAAGAGTTCAGGAGATCACTAGAATTGTAACAGCAGTCAGGGAGCACAGGATAAAAGAACAACTGCCTATTGGCCCAAGAGCTGAGACAAATCCACAGCTGAAAAAGCCTCAGAGCTCTTAGCCTGAAACATTCCACTTTTTTACAAATGAAAGAATAAAAATGAAAGAAGTAGATAAGCAAGAAGCTACCCATCATCATCAAGTCTAGAACAGAAAAATCTACTATGTCAATTCTAATCCAGTTACATTAAAGCAATTACTGTTCTTTACTAATAGCTGAAATACACTGGGAAGTGGTTATTACTCTCTCATTGCCATAGTTATTTGCAGTACTAACTCAAAGCATTTTTCCCCCAGAGGATGGAAAAAACTTTACATCAATGTAACACTATATTCATAAGAGAAGTCCAATTCACAGCTTTATTTTACCTGTGCCACAAAACGATGCCTCAGCAGCTACTACCCGAGAACTAACTGGCCCTGTAGTTTAAGCCTAGTGATTCAGGTTTCATCCAAAATTTTGCTGGTGTTCTGGTTTGAACACTAAACTTCAAGTTGTTTTTAGCTTTCTTAATGTTCAGGACTCCTATCAGCTGAGAATTTTAATAGATTCTTCAATAAAATCTGAGAAAGAAGATCAGAGAGCTTGTTCTATTGGCAAAGGCTCTGACAGCTGGAAAGGAAGAGAAAATTCTCATAACTTTGTTCTGGAAGAAAGAGTTGACAGAAGTGGCTTTGAGGTATCAAAATGTGCAGAATATTTTTCAGGATATGTAAATACAATTCTGTTGCCAATTTTGACACAAACATTTCTTTATCAAACATTGAGACAAGTCAGATTTCGGACAGGATGGTGATTATACTGAGGTGATACATTCTGGGCTTTGTTTTTCATTTTGTCTTTTTTTAAGCCAAAAGCCACAAATGAGCATAATGGATTGTTCTCATCTTCATGTACTTGTAAAAACACGAGGAAAGTTCATGGGGAAAAGAAAACGCAAAAGATACCAAGTGTACAAACAGTAATTGTTTACAGCTCCTCCCAAGAGCTGGTAAGAGTTGAAACAAGCTTGAACTGTGGTCTTGTCCAAATGACAGGCAAGAGTAACCAGTCTCTACAGACACAGTCTTTGTTAGAAACGAATGCTAGGCATACTATCACAACTTAATGTGAATTACTAAATCAAGATAATCACAAATTGATGTGAATTACTAAATCAAGGTAATTGTGTTTTAGAAAAAACAAACCATATAATAGACAGCCAAAATGGTAATTGCAAAGAACATGTATGCGCATCTTTTCTTACAATTAAGTTTAGTAGCTTAGTTGTAGTGCATATATGAAAGTAATATCTAACACAAAATGTATCTATTGAGACCAATTGCCTTTCCTGCAATTTGGAGAAGAGCGCTATTCAAGATCATTCCAGCTCCTGAGAGACTATAAAAGGAGATATTCCTCATTCAAATAAGTTTGTTGCTGAATATAAAATTCTTTCAAATACTTCAAGGGAGCTGCAGCAGATATCAGCTAATAGACAATGCCCTGTAACCCAAGATTAGTTCTTTATGCATCCTTTGTGGTTTTATCCAAGAAGATTAGGGAAAGTTCGATTTAGTATATTGTGCATGGCACTTATTAAAATAGGTAGCTGTCAATTTCTAATTATTTCCTCTTGGGGAAAAAAAACAAACTCCAAAAAAGACAAAGCCTTCTTCACACATCCTTATATTAGGTAAAGCAGCAGGAAAAAAATGAGAATAGAAAAATGCAATTCATGGTGAAAGGAACTACTATAGCCTCAACTGATTGTGCTTCTTCACTCATGAAAATCTATTTTTCAAAAGCAACTTCTTTTCAGAAGGAGCTGGGGAAACATCCTGCCAGTGCACAGAGCAAAAAAAGGGAAAAAAAAAAAAAAAAAAAGGGAAATTGATCCCAACTTCATAACCCAAACTGCCAGGAAGCTGGTTACAGCTAAGCGAGGAAAATTTCTGGTCTTCCCCATAAGAGAAATATGTTCTGCTTATAATAATTAGAAAAAAAAATAAAATTATTCTATTCACTGTTCAAACAGATCAATGAAACTTTAAAGGAACAATCAATGAAACTTTAAAGGAACAATCTTTAAGAGTCTTACCTCAGCTGTGGAAACAAAGGAGTCTGTTGATGCAATGCTTAATGTATCTCGAAGGCCGAAATCATCCATATTATCCTTTACAGTAATGTCTGTATTTTTATCTTCAGAATAAAAAAAGACAAAAAAAAAAAAAGACAAACTGACTATTAGGCTATCAGAAAATTAAATTTCAATCTTGAAAGTGTGTTTCTTCTATACTTTAATGTAGTACTTCATTTGGAAGGCACAATATTATGGCACTGTGAGAGTAAATTCTGCTATGATCTGCTAAGATACATAAAGTGACTGTATTTTTCTCTCTTTGAAGTGGACTTATGAGCATCATCTGTAATGAACACAGAGAGAAAAAACTTCCCCAGGGGTTTTGCCTTTGCTAGACTTGTGATGATCCCTGTATCTAAAGATACTACTTTGCTATATTGATCTAAACCTTCTGTTAAATTTTTAAGCTGGCTGTGTTACATAACAAATACTCAATGTCTTAGTAACCAAGAAATACAGTTCTAAATAGAAGTCCATTAATTAAAAAAAGGTTTCAGCTTCATTTGAATTAATTGCATTTTCTGCTTCTCATGCCTTTTTTCACTTGATGGTTCTTCAGGAGAGCAAGTGAAGTTTTTAATCTCTGCCGTATCCTCTTTGCCCCAAAAGCTTTTCCATTGAAATTACCTACCCAGAAGCATTTCCTATAGTACTAAAAGTCTTAAAGCCTTTAAAGTAACTGGTATTTTTTCCTTAAAATCATCTGCAATACAGTTTCTCTCAGTTTTCCTTTATTTTATTCTCAGATTTCAAGTGCTGCACATATTATTAGCATACATGAGTTTGTTTCTACCATACAAAAACACTTTCACAGAAGGATTCAATTCATAACTCAGTAAGTCAGACTTTGGCTTGATGTGCCCCATACTACATTCTCGGTAGAGCACAGGCATTTATTTTGGGTTACTTTACCTTCAGACATTACACATGTGTTGCTAAAAGCCTGCTTTATTTCCAACAGTCAGCAGCAACCAGCTACTCAATGTCATACAGATCTGTTGCTATGGCAATACTTCATGAGAAACACTATTACATAGCAAAGTGGCCAAATGCCAATACACCGGAATGGTTTACTCATCAATTGAAATGCTACAAATCCACATAACTATTATTTCGGTGGTTGTTATGGTTTTAATAGTTGCAGACTTGGAATGACAGCTCAAAAATTGCACATAACAATAAATATGTCTTTGAGACAATTCACTGAGGGAAAAAATTACTAAAAGTTTACACAAAAACCTTACTAGATTAAGCAGATTTGTACTTGTAATCACAACTTCACCAGTATTCACATGAAAGTCTCTAATTTTTTCAGATCATTCTTAGTTTGCTCTTTCTTTTGACTTCTTAAAACCAAGAGGAAAAGTACAGCAGCATCCAAGTTGGTTGAGAAACAATCACATACTGGAATCTGAAAAGCTGGAACAGAAAACTGAACTGTGGTTTGTAAAGCATTTGCTTGAGGTTTGGTAAGAGCACATGAGTAACATGATGTTTCCTTCTTATTCCTGGCCCATAACTTGCATTAATCCACTTCTAATTTTCCATTAAATGTTTTTCTAACAGCAGTTTTTCACAGAAGCAGTTGCTGAAACTGCAATAATACTTGCTAAACACAGGGTAGTACAGGGATGTATAGCCTGGTTGCAGATTTTTCCACTGAACCTCTCCTTTTGGCTAAATTGTTTTCCATAATAAATTCGCAATTAAAACAAAAGCCCTCTAGCACCTGGTTCAAATGCAATCCAAAGAAAATTATTTTCCTGATCCTTCCAGTCTGCAGGCACATGTAACACTTAATGAGAAGTAAACAGCTACAGTCATAAGTAGCAATGCAAATTACAAACTCCTATGGCAGTAAAGCATGGACCACACTACTTTTTTTTCTTTACGGGCCACATCCAAAGAAGCATGGCCAACAGTTCAAGGGAGGTGATGCTCCCCTTCTGTTCTGCTCTCATGAGTTCCCACATTGGTATACTGTGTCCAGCTGTGGAGCGCTCAGCACAGGAGAGACACGGACTACCTATTTAGTGTGAGGTGTCCCTGCCCATGATAGGGGGTTTGGAACTAGATGATTTTAAGGTCCTTTCCAACCCTAGCCATTCCATTCTATTCTATTCTATTTATTCTTTATGTATATGTAAGCAAACAATTGGTGCAAATGAAGGAACCACAGAGTTTCCAGCCCAGAACACTAGAGAATAAGGGGTTCTTTTGTAGAGCTTGCATTCAGCCTGCTACGGATTACATGAAGCTGTCAAGATAGTAAGATTTTGAATACATCTATATTTGCTGAAGAAGTCATTATTCCCAGTTTTCTAATATGGGCCTAAAATTGTCACCTAGATAGTATGTTTTAAACATGTTAGTTGAATATGAAATATGTGTGTTTTTACTCAATGAAAATTGTTACTACTACTGCTACTACTACAAAAAAAAAGGCTCAAAATTTGCATGTTATGACAAAAAGCTCGATTAAAAAAAGATTGATAATGCTGAGTGAAATAATACCTGGGGCAAGTGATAACGTGCATACAATGCACAGCCTCCCCAAAGAAAGCACAACAGTCTTGTCAGCTATTTTTGACTTCCTGGCCACCACCATCCTATCACCCTAAAATACCCTTAGCCAAGCAGGTGCTTATCAATACCCGCACCATGCAGAGAGCACACTATTATGGAAATGTTAGGGTTGCAAATTAAGTTATGGCTGGGGTACATACCATGGGAGTACCCAGAGAACATTCTTAGCCACAAGAACATCAGAAAAAAAAAAGAGAGCAGCACAATGAGACTCCTGGAATGAACAGCTGTGAAAAGGACCCACCCACCAGAGGCTACAACTGCTCCTACAGTCATCCCTAGTTCTCTAATGTTGTCTAATACCTTCAGGAACAGAATACTCGTGAGTGTGTGAGCTTCAAATAAACTTTACTTATTTGAGAAGCCAGGGAGTTATTTTGGGTTCGTTTATATTTGTAAAGAGGATGAAGTAGAGTTTCAAATGTGACACTGACAACAGTAATTGCCATTAGGACTCGTGGTGGTGGTGCCTTAAAAATTCATATGTGGTTCTAAAGTTAGATGAAGGGTATTGAAAAAAATGGAAGAATATGGTGTATTGCTAAAGCTTGTGAAATGAATCCTAGCTTTATAAGATTTTGCAAGCAACTATCTATTTCAAACTAAGTAAATAAAACCAAACCAAAATGAAGCTACTTCCACATTTATTCACAGAGTACTAATCTAGAATATTTATTTGTCTTTGAGCTGGTAGGTTTGTGTGATAAAACAGACCACAAAACTAACTCTCTAAACTCCTGGAGCAAAATCTGACCTTAAAGATAGAACTGCACACAATTAACTTTTTAGCATTCAATTGGGAAGCACTTACTTTCACATTATGTTTTAAAATTCTGAGAACTGTTTATAGATCATCTTCCCTCCATGCCTGAATGAAACATGGCACGAGTTCACAAGTGAATTTGGCACTTATGTGCAGCAGTTAAAAAAGGAAAGCACTTACCCACTGGCAAAGAACTCCCTGAGAGTTAAGGAATTTAGTTCTGAGTGCCACCGTTAAAGCCATGGTTTCCTATTCTTTCCAGCCCCCCCACTTCAGTGGAACATCATGGCAGTAACGTATCACAATCAGGAAAGGGAGATGAGAAATAATAGACTTGACTGACTCCAAAGCAGAGAAAACCTTGCAAAGGAATGCACTTATGAAAAGTCAGGGTACCCCAAGAGCAGCAGGGTCCCAGTATTCTGCCAGGCTACCATGCAGCCAGCAACTGTGTTATGTGCTAATCAGGCTCCTTAGATGTGTGGCTTCATGCCCAGACAAAGGAATTACAATAAGCAAGTTCAGAGAGCACAGAAGTATGAATTACTACATAATTCAGTTTCCAGAGAACGTGTCACAGTCTTCTAGCCAGTCACAAGCAGCACAGTGGTTTGTCATCACTGTTTTTGAAGCATCCAAAAGCAGCTTTATTTATGTTTATAAACAGTCATAACTCAGTGTTGAGTGAATATTCATTAAAAAAAAATAAAAAAAAACAGTCTTACCAATGGCTACTAATGTATTACACGAAGTCTTGCAGGATGCACCTAGAAAACCGTGAATTTACTGTCCGTTGTGTTTATAAAAATAAAACAATCCCAACCTTCAGACAGCACTTTCTGATGACTGGGTTGTACAGCTACACGTTAAAAAAGGCAAGCCAAGAATGGAGTGGGTGGTCCACACAGACCATTCTGGATTTAACAGCTATTGTTAAATTATGTGTTTACATTCTCCAGTAACACAGATATCTGGGTTCAAGAAAGTGCCTATAGCTGGAGGCATCTCACCCCACTTTGTACAAACAAAGATAATACTGCCTTCAGCATAAAAATTTATTTCAGGTTAGGATCTTTTAAATATATCTAGAAATATCTATAAATCTTGCACTCTACCAGTACATCAGCATGTATCACAAGTTAAACATGTTGCATGGTTCTTTGTTGGGACCATTCTGATGAAAACTGAAGTGATAGATTCCTTTAAAAAACCAAAACACTCCCCCACCAAACCCACAAGCAGACACTCCAGTGCTGTACAATCATAAAGCCTGGCTGCCAATATGTGCTCACTCCTCCAGCAGGTCCCTCTTGTGAGCACACAGCTTCTGCTCAACAGTATTTGGCTAGGAACACAGCAACCAAAGCTGCGGTCTAATGGAAAAGAACAACTGGGGGAAACGGAGTATAGGACAGCAACAAGTACTTATCATTTGCAATTTTACCTTCCTCCTAGTACTCACAGACCTTCACAGTAAGCTTTGGCTGAGCTAACCACTGAGCCTTCAAATTACATCCTTAGCAAATACTGCAGTAGTTTTCATGCAGAGAATAATCTTCTGTTTTTGTGCAAACAGGCCAAATCTCACCTCCTCAGTAAAAACTGACTCAACCAAGCTTTCGTAACTGCTTCCAAGTATAGCTATAATCCACTAAAAAAAATCCACTAATAATCCACTATAAGTCCACTAAAAGCCTTCCACTACAATAC